CCAAGATATTTCATACAAAACTCAGAATTGTTTATCTAAGGCACTCAATAAAAACCTTCAATTTTATTTATTTATTTTGTGAATAGGAACACCTTCAATTTATAAACAGCCAAAAAGTATGTGTATGACCAAATTCATGTCTTTAAAAGCTAAAATTTGAAGTATTCTAATCCAGATTAACAAGAATTCGTCATATGATATATGAAACTCAATCAAACGCATACATCATGGAATCCAAGGACATTAAGGTACCCACTCCTCCTATATGCAACATACATGCGACTTGAATGTATTCCTTTTCCCGTAAGCTATTACCATCATGTCATCCAATGACATAAAAAAATCAAAATATTAATTTTCCAATATTTTCCCCCTATTTGTACCTTATAAATTTCCCAAAAAAATTCAACTCCCATAAATACCAAACAATTGCATCTATTATTGATGGGAACACGGTGTTTCTCAATAGCTTCCCCCTAAATAGGCTCCATACCTGACATTCCAGCTGAAAGAACATAATTGACCTATAGCAAAGACCCACTCTAGTCAAAGCAGAGAAACTCCAGCAGAGAAGGAACAGTTGCAATTCCCAAACTTCAAACCAAAACATCATACAGGCAGCTGGAACTCTTCCATAGNAACTGAAAAAACATAATTGACCTATAGCAAAGACCCACTCTAGTCAAAGCAGAGAAACTCCAGCAGAGAAGGAACAGTTGCAATTCCCAAACTTCAAACCAAAACATCATACAGGCAGCTGGAACTCTTCCATAGCCGAGCTGAACTGTTAACAAATTCTAATTCTAATTTAAAATTATAAAATAAATTCTAATTTGCCACAAATATTAGAACGTCACGAAATAATAATTTTTTTTAATATAAAATAAAAATTATATTCTGCGACAAATTTTTAAAAACGTCGCAAAAANCCGAGCTGAACTGTTAACAAATTCTAATTCTAATTTAAAATTACAAAATAAATTCTAATTTGCCACAAATATTAGAACGTCACGAAATAATAATTTTATTTAATATAAAATAAAAATTATATTCTGCGACAAATTTTTAAAAACGTCGCAAAAAAATACCTATTCAAGACAAAATAATAAAAAACGTCGCTAATTAATAGTAATTAAAATATATATTCTGCGACGATAATATTAAACGTCGGGAATTAATTATTTAGACTTTATTTTGATTTTGATTCAATATTATTTTTTTTTGCAATGAATTGAAACTATCCACGACAAAAAAAAAATGATCGCAAAAAATTTTCAACTCCCGCCCTTTTCTCAATCCAAAAAATTTTGGTGGGANCGTCGGGAATTAATTATTTTGACTTTATTTTGATTTTGATTCAATATTATTTTTTTTTGCAATGAATTGGAACTATCCACGACAAAAAAAAAATTATCGCAAAAAATTTTCAACTCCCGCCCTTTTCTCGANTAGACTTTATTTTGATTTTGATTCAATATTATTTTTTTTTGCAATGAATTGAAACTATCCACGACAAAAAAAAAATGATCGCAAAAAATTTTCAACTCCCGCCCTTTTCTCAATCCAAAAAATTTTGGTGGGAATCACCTTTTCGCGACGTTTTCTAAAAATGTCGCAAAAAAATTGTCAAATAAACTATTTGCGACAAAAATATGAAATCGTCGCGGAAAGTTCATTTTTTGCGACGAAAAAAAAACGTCGCAATTAATATTTTAATTCAAATTAAAAATTATATATTGCGACGAATTTATAAAAACGTCGCGAAAAAACACCTAATCCTGACCTTTCTCACGCAANCGTCGCGGAAAGTTCATTTTTTGCGACCAAAAAAAAACGTCGCAATTAATATTTTAATTCAAATTAAAAATTATATTTTGTGACGAATTTATAAAAACGTCGCGAAAAAACACCTAATCCTGACCTTTCTCACGCAAAAAAAATTGGTGGAATTCACCTTTTCGCAACGTTTTTAAGAAAACGTCACACAAAATGTCAAATACACTATTTGCGACAAAAATATAAAATCGTTGTGAAAAATTTATTTTTTGCGACAAAAAAAAACGTTGCGATTATTTTAATTCTAATTTAAAATTTAAAATTAATAATAATTTTATTTAATATAAAATAAAAATTATATTCTGCGACAACTTTCTAAAAACGTCATGAAAAAACACCTATTCCCACCTTTTTCCCGCACCAAAAAATTTTGGTAGGAATCACCTTTTCGCGACGTTTTCTAAAAATGTCGCAAAAAAATTGTCAAATACACTTTTTGCGACAAAAATATAATAAATCGTCGCAAAAAATTCATTTTTTGCAACGAAAATAAAAACATCGCAATTAATATTTTNCTTTTTGTCAAATACACTTTTTGCGACAAAAATATAATAAATCGTCGCAAAAAATTCATTTTTTGGAACGAAAATAAAAACATCGCAATTAATATTTTAATTCTAATTGAAAATTAAATTCNACAAACCCCTTGAAGTTTGTACACGCATAGCACTTAGATCCCTCCCATTAATATCCGTTAGTATATCCATTAATAAATTACACCTAAATCCTTTGAAGTTTGTAGGGGTATAATACTTAGATCCCTCAAGTTTAATCCAAAAATACTTCAATTAATGATAGATTATCAAATATTTTAAATTTTATAACCAAAATTCATATTCTAGTATGACATTTATTGAAATAAAATCAAAAATAAAAATTTAATTTTTTTCTTAAAAGATCATAATTAGTATAAAACTATATTGTCTATCAGAATTTAATTTGATCATCCAAACGACTAAATTAGACTACTAAATTATCCTAATTAAAGGAAGAAGATATTGTGTCAATTATTGTTTGACATATTATTTGATTTTTTAGTTTTATTCTAATACATAGTATAATTGTATATTAATTATGATTTTTTTTAGAAAAAATTTGATTTTAATTTTGATTTTATTTCAATAAATAACATAATAGAACATGAATTTTAGNATTATATTGTCTATCAGAATTTAATTTGATCATCCAAACGTCTAAATTAGACCACTAAATTATCCTAATTAAAGGAAGAAGATATTGTGTCAATTATTTTGACATATTATTTGATTTTTTAGTTTTATTCTAATACATAGTATAATTGTATATTAATTATGATTTTTTTTAGAAAAAAATTGATTTTAATTTTGATTTTATTTCAATAAATAACATAATAGAACATGAATTTTAGTTATAATATTCATGTTCTATTATGAATGACTTAGACTCCTTATTTGATTTTTTAGTTTTATTCCAAAAGAGAGTATAATTACATACTAAATATGATTTTTTAAGAAAAATTATATTTTTATTTTTGATTTTATTTCAATAAATGATACTATAGAATATAAATTTTTGTTATAAAATTTANGTATAATTGCATACTAAATATGATTTTTTAAGAAAAATTATATTTTTATTTTTGATTTTATTTCAACAAATGATACTATAGAATATAAATTTTTGTTATAAAATTTAAAATAATTTATATTTTATATTTTATTGGAGTATTTTTGGTTTATGTATAACATTTTAAACTTANGAGTATAATTACATACTAAATATGATTTTTTAAGAAAAATTATATTTTTATTTTTGATTTTATTTCAATAAATGATACTATAGAATATAAATTTTTGTTATAAAATTTAAAATAATTTATATTTTATATTTTATTGGAGTATTTTTGGTTTATGTATAACATTTTAAACTTAAGGAGTCTAAGTATAATACACCTATAAACTTCAAAAGGTCTGGGTGTNTTATATTTTATTGGAGTATTTTTGGTTTATGTATAACATTTTAAACTTAAGGAGTCTAAGTATAATACACCTATAAACTTCAAGAGGTCTGAGTGTAATTTACTAATGAATGTATTAACAAATATTGGCGAGAAATGATTTAAGTATTACGCGTATACAAATCTCAATAGGTATGTGTGTAATATTTCAAATGTCAGAGACAGTGCTGATGTTGTGTAATGGTTACTCCTAATATTTTTTTCACTCGTTAAAAGCATTTGACAATATTAATTATAAAACACATGAAATCAACACTCACATCTAATCAAGTATTTTCAATAGCCCCTAGCCATTCAAAAGCCCATCAACTTTTTGCAAGATGGAATTCAGTTCTGGATTGTTCATTAAACATTTACTCCATTTTTGGGGGGTTTGGGTAACAATAACCTTCTGTTGGACATTCTTTTTTGGATTGCTGATCTCTATGCTTTTGTTAGTATCGGCATGACTGCTCATTCCCCCATAGCCACCACAGTCAGATGGCCTTAATTATGCTCTTACTTCTTCTTCTTCTTCTTCTTCTTCGTGTTCTGCATCTATTGCATTGCAGCTGCTCCCCCTTCTACTTTTGTGGCTTCTTCTTTTTATTGATCTTCATCCTCTTCCTCATTTTCTTCATATTCTTCTTATTTTTCTACCTCCTCCTCTTCTTTCCATTCGACATTAAATACAAGCTCTTTCTTCTTCTTATTCTGCTTCTGTTGTTGCTTTCCCTTTTACTTTTGCTTCTGTTGCTTCTTCTTTTTCTTGTTCTTCATTCTCTTCCTCTTCTTCCTACGTTCAATAGAAATAATAGAACATATAATCATACAGATTAGAAGGAATTTCCCTAAAGATAACTACATTGTTTGGGTGTTTCTTGATAGTAAAACAGCCTAAATCAACCGAGTTTTATAGTGATCATTGCCCAAAGGCTCTACGCAAAATTGTATAAACTAAAAATTTGGGCAAAACCAACAGTTCTACAAGGTCCATCATCTATGGGTCATTTTAAGATCATGAAAACCCCAGCCAACATTCTTGTTTGTGTATTATATTCATACTTTTTGTAAAGCATGATTGGAGAGGAGATACGCACCTAATAGGAGCGGATAATTCGAATCCCAGTAACACAACATAGTATTACAGTATTGCTTTATTTCTTCTACCTCTTCATAGTACAAAAGGTGGGCCCCACACTCCTTTATTTGTCCCTCAACCTTCATCTCAAATGAAACCTCCACTTCACCACCTCCTTTAAGTGGAACCTCAAGCCCAAAATGGCATAACCATACAATATATTCATCTGCTTTTGGAACACCATAGCACCTTGGCCTATAGGGCCACACAAGATGCTTACTCTTGTTGTGGACTTTAACCTCTATTGGAAATTGTAACCAATTTACGATGTCGGTAAGTGTGTACACTAGGCACACATTTAAGCCTCGTATTTGGTGATTAGAAGGCACATTTAATGTGATTCTGGGCCCATTAGTCTTATACTTAAACCAGCNACACTAGGCACACATTTAAGCCTCGTATTTGGTGATTAGAAGGCACATTTAATGTGATTCTGGGCCCATTAGTCTTATACTTAAACCAGCATGGAACTTCTCGTCCAGGAAAATATGTGCTAAATAATCCACATTCCCATAGAATCTGTAAAATAAATCTCACAGTTTAGCCTTTAATCATTAACGAATGAATAAGAAGAGAGAGAAAGAGAGAGAGAGAGAGAGAGAGAACCTCAACTGGACGCTTCACTCTGCTCCACACAATACAATTTGCAATCATCACTTCAACATCTGCCATGGAGTCCAAGCCGAAGAAGCCAACATTGTTGATCAATCTTACATCAACTTCTCTGACAGGTTTTGTCTTGAAACCATTTTGAACGTAACATAGCCTCATGCAAGCACCATGCTGAATGCTTAGTGGACTGGCCTTAGTATCATAAGTTATTTGTTGCAAAGATCTGCACTCCGTAACGTTCAATTCCTTAACTTCTATTGCTGGCCATTGAATCTTCTCGAGCTTTGGACACCAAGATAAATCTAGCATCTGGAGTCTTGACAAATTTCCAACGCAATCTGGTAGCCTACGAATATGATTTCCTACAAGAGATAAGGACTCCAACATATTGAGCCTACCAAAATCCGTGCCAAAAGCATCATCGGTGAGATTGCAATTCCCAAGGCTTAGGCTTACTAAAGAACTTGGGAAAGAGGTCCATAATGTGTTTGGGCTTTTCATTGGTTTTTGTACCCAAGGCCAAACGAATCCATTCCCTCCTGGTACAATATCGTGGGTCACACCGAGTGCTTTATTTATATCAATTCTGTCCGCTCGAAGTACTCTCATTGACTCCATCTTATTGAGCTCCTTTGCTGACAATATAAGATTTGAGCAATCGGAAATATCAATCTCTTGAAGAGATGTTACCTTACTAATGTTTCTTGGAAGTGCCCTCAGACCAATGCAACCTCTAAGATTCAAGAGACAAAGTTTCTGTAGGTTCACAATGGATTCATCAATCCCAACCAGTCTTTTACAGTGTTTCAAAATCAGCTTCTGCAGATTGGGGGTTTTTGTGAAGTCTGGAGTTTTGTTAAGATAATGGGAATGACTGAGGTTTAGGATTTTCAGCTGTCCAAGAACCTATTTTAGAACAAACACACACACACACACATAGAGAGAGAGAGAGGGGTTAAAGGTTGCATACTCACACAATAATTAAACACTAGAATCCTTTAAAACANGTTTTGTTAAGATAATGGGAATGACTGAGGTTTAGGATTTTCAGCTGTCCAAGAACCTATTTTAGAACAAACACACACACACACATAGAGAGAGAGAGGGGGTTAAAGGTTGCATACTCACACAATAATTAAACACTAGAATCCTTTAAAACGGCAAAAGCAAATTACGTTACATACCTTAATTTCTCTTTTCCAAAGTTGTTCCAATTTGCTATTGCGCATGTCAAGAGCTACTAAGTTATATAGAGAGNTCCAATTTGCTATTGCGCATGTCAAGAGCTACTAAGTTATTTAGAGGAAGGCCACTGGGCAAAACTCTTAAATGNGCAAAAGCAAATTACGTTACATACCTTAATTTCTCTTTTCCAAAGTTGTTCCAATTTACTATTGCGCATGTCAAGAGCTACTAAGTTAGTTAGAGAAAGGCCACTGGGCAAAAATCTTAAATCAGAACCACGCCAATACAAGAATCGTAAATTTCTCGGAAATAGCCCATCATTTTTGGAGAATTGCACGTAACTGAGCTTGAGTAATCTAAGGTTGAGCATCCTTTCAAATGCACTAACTTCTAAGTCAGTCTCACTTGAATTTCTCGNGGAGAATTGCACGTAACTGAGCTTGAGTAATCTAAGGTTGAGCATCCTTTCAAATGCGCTAACTTCTAAGTCAGTCTCACTTGAATTTCTCAAAGCTGGATCTACGCGGTGCCAAAATAATTTGAAAAAATTATGACCAAAATCTGTTATAGCAAAATCATCTTCCTTCAACCTCCCCATGTCAAGAATGAGGCCTTCAATTTTTTCTGTGCCCTTATGAAGACAAACAAAATAAGAGAAAATTGGTTAATTGAGTAACTAAATGGACCAAAAGTATTGCAGGCACATAAGAAAGAAGATTCTTACAATTTTGTCTCTCAAAATTTTGAAGGATTCCTTGTGACGCCAGAGTCTGCTACGCTCCTGAGGGGGTGTAAGTCCTTCGNCACATAAGAAAGAAGATTCTTACAATTTTGTCTCTCAAAATTTTGAAGGATTCCTTGTGACGCCAGATTCTGCTACGCTCATGAGGGGGTGTAAGTCCTTCGTCAACTATTGCTTTTGCCATGCTTTGAAGCAGTGGATGCATTGACAACTTACCTTTTTCAATTTTTAAGAGATTTCTTTCAATAAGATTTTGAATCCCAGCCACAACAAAACAATCATATCCATCCAGGATTGTCACCGTATCAGTTCTTTTCTTTCCAACGAAGAAAAATGCAATATCGAGGAATATTTTTCTATCGTGCCAATCTAAGTCATCATAGCTTATTCTGAGCTTTTCTACAATTTCAGAGTTAGGAATAGCTTCCAATTTCTCTAATTTGCTCTCCCATATCACCAAATTTTGCTCTCTTACAGAAGAACCAAAAACTTCAAGAGCTAAAGGAATGCCATTGCAGTGACGTAGAAATCTCTTTGCATGTTCTGTGTAACCATCAACAGGATGTTTATTTCCAAAAGCATGCCAACTGAAAAGTTCAAGTGATTCAATGTCCATCAGTGATTCAACGTCATAAGTGATATCAATTTCACTTTTCTTTAGCAGGCCCTCCTTCCTTGTTGTTATGATAATTTTGCTACCTTGGAAAAACAAATCCCTTTCCAAACCTAGTACTGCCTTTATTTGGCCCTCGTTTTCAACATCATCGAGAACAAGAAGAACTCTTTTTCTTGACAAGACAAGTTTAAGCCTCCTGTGGCCATCATAAACATCATCAACTTTTTTCTCTCTTTTATTTTGAAGATTAGAAAGAAGTTGTCTTTGCAAATGAAGTATACTATTGGGGTTTTCAGAAACTTGTCTAATATTTTCGAGAAAACTGCTTCCGTTGAATGTGCCACAGTGCCTATTGTATAAAACTTTGGCAATAGTAGTCTTTCCTATCCCTCCCATGCCGCATATCACAAGTTTGCCAGCAGGGGCTGAATAATTCTTGAACCACCAATCAATTTTATTGACTCTAGACTCCATTCCAACTAGGTGGGTAGCAACACTTACGCCCTGCCAAGTTGTCTTATCTTTAACCCATTGAACGACTTCTTGGATGAACTTTGCTTCATGCCTAAAATTTCAAGTCAAAGGGGAAAAAAAGCAATATACATATTAAAAAAAATTCAACAAAATCACATGTAAATAACTAAAAGAGTGATGATGTCCTGCCACCATTATACCCAATAATTTGTCACAAAGAATCTACTTTTCTCTTCTTTTTTTTCAAAAAAATGTGTGTTGCAAACTGTGCCCAAAAACCCAAAATGAAATAACATAATAAATAAACATAGTGCACCTGGACAAATGAGTTATTTACCAGAATATAATCTTTTTTAAACTTATTTACTAATATAGAACACTTTTAAATTTATTTACATGAAATTAATAAATCCGTTTTTGTTAAAAATTAGAGTCAACAACCCATAGTTATTGACTCCCATCAATCCATTTTAACAAAAACGGAGTCAATAACTCCGTTATAACAAAAGCAAAGTTATTGATTCTATTTTTAAACAAACATAATAGTTTGATAAATTAGTTTAAAAGTATTATATATCAATAAATAAATTTTAAAAGACTATTTTAATAAATAACTCCTCAACAGATATCTTGTACCATTTATGTGACGTGAATAATGGACATGCTAATTGCACAGGCTTCTGATATGTTTTGAACAAAATAATATCTACATTTCAAACTTGCTAAAACAAAACTTTCATTTGAATTTTAAATTTATTTTAAATGCTCTAATTATTTTTTTTTTCATGTTAAATGGTAGAGACAAATATGGTGATGTTTAAAAAAACATATTTATCCTCCGTTTGGTACGGTGGATGGAAAGTAAGAGGGATGAAAAATAGGAGGAATACACTTTCCATCTTTTAAGGAAGGAAAATAGGAATGATATACTTTCATTTCTTTGTGTTTGGTAAAATGGATGTAAAATAAAAATAATAAATTATTTTTGTGCTTGGTGAGATGGAAAAAAATTTTATTTTTTAAAAAAATTTTATTTTTATTTTTTAAAACTTTTATTTTAAATTCTTTTTTTGAAAATATAAATATATATTTTATCATTGTATTTATATATGAAATTAATGTATACATAATATATGTTTATATCAAATGATATATATACTAATAATTAATTTTTTATCCACTTTCCTTCCAATTTTGGAGGAATTGATTTTAGTAAGTTGGAAGAAAAGTTCATACATCTACTTTTTCATCATTCTTATTTTCTTTTCTTAATGTTTTATCTATCCCTCCAACTTTCCATTCTTATAACTTTTCATTTTTCTACTTTTTTATCTACCAAACATAACATTAGACTACAATTATGCATGACTTCTCAAAAGATTTCATTGAAACATAATGACTAATGAGCTCCGCGGTTATGACAGGGTTGAAATAAAAATTAAAAATGTCTCAAATATGATCCCACATTCTAAGAAGAAGCAATGAAGAATCTGTCAATCATTAAAAAAAAATATCTGACACAAAACAAACAAACATATGAACAGACAAAAAACTATGATTTCTGTTAAGGTTATGGTGTATAATTACAAAAAGTTATGGTTATTTAAGCAATAAAATATAACAATGAAAAGTTATGAGAGCAATTTATAATATTGAAAAAGTTGAGCAAAAAAGAGATCTCGTTGATAGAACATGTTTTGTAAGTCAACCAAATAAAACAAATTGGAGACCAAAAAAGGCCAAAATAGGACACCATGAAATCAAAAACAGAGCATAGACGGAAACCCTTGTTGTCCGCTGTCTGCTCACAGCAAAGGTGAGATGCTACAGTGCTCAAACTCAAAAATAGAAATCGAAAATGGACAGAGGATGCAATGGGAATCTTTGGATGGTATAAATCTACCCTCAAACTTTTAACTGTTGTGATGCTCTGTGGTAGAAACTTCAAGGTTTATGGCCGGAAACAGAAGATTTGAAGCTACAAAGAGAAGATCTAGAGTTTTGAGGGCTGAAATGATGGAAAATGAGAGAATATGCGGCTGAAATGCAAAGAAGCAGTGGAGAATATCATTCATAAAGGGAATTTTGCATCTAGGTTTTTGGTTTTATGGGTCGATTGGACCTGTGCTGTAACGGCTGTTACAGATGTGATATTTTTTCTTGCCGGGTGTAACGGGATCGGAACCAAGGGCGTCGTTAGCGTTATGAAACGGTTGTTACCCACAGTAACGGCCGAGTTTTGCTGCCTGGGGTGGGGGTGGGGGAGAGGAGAGGAGAGGAGAGGAAATTACCCATCAGCTTGGTTTTTCAAAACCATCCCTGCTAGATTTACAACCTCCTTAAGTGCCACGCTTGATCTCTTCACGTTGTTCATCTGTTCATCTTGTCCTTTATCGGCAACCAGACCTTCTGCTTGCTTCTTAACTTCAGAGGGATCTACATCGTAAAAGACAGGCAAAATGACATGTTTAGATTTCTTACTATGTTCAAGAATAGTCTCTACTTCATAACAGCACGCCTTGGAAGACACATAGTCTTTTGAGAAGACAATTATAGATATCTTCGACGTTTTGATTGCTTTCTCCAATTCTAAGTTGATATTTTCTCCCCTCTCAATCTCATCGTTATCTCTGAATGTGCGAATTCCATTGTCGGATAAAGCTGTATAAAGATGGTCCGTAAAAGATTTGCGGGTGTCGGTGCCTCTGAAACTCAAAAACACATCATAGGTACACTCAGAAGCTGAAAACAAGGTTTCATGGGAACTAGCCAT